GTGAGAACCTAACCAACTACTGAGACTCAGAAAAAAATACCTATTTAGGTTCACAACCAGACTCAATTCCCTGATGAATACCTGGAAATATGGGGAATAATTTTTCAAAATGCTATTCTGAAGCCCAGTACCAAGTAGAAAGAAATTCTACTCTTGCTCCAGCTTTCCTGCCTAAGTTAAGGAGACTAAGAACAAAAGTTCTACAGAAGGTAGTTTTTCAAGGAAATACAATAAGAAAACCTGCACAATGAATAGAGTAATTATCAAGCGGGAAAGCTGGGACAGTCACACAGGGAAAGCCAAAGCCCAGGAATACAAACAGACTTAGACTAAGACTTAAAAGGATTGACAACAGGATCCATCCTGGATTCTCTACGAATTCACCAGTAGGACCCATAGTAGTGACAATTGATTAAAGCTAGAATGCAGCAAAAACCAATCTTTCTGAGCAACAGTATAAAATGTCTCCTAACAAAGAAGGGGAGAAAAGGACTCCTTGCTACACTCATAATCACAACCATCACTAACATGCACAAATTGACCATACCAGAGATCATTTTACTGTGAGGAACTATTTCCCTGCTCCAAGGTCTTTGGGACTGAATAAAAAATTATGAGGAATGCTAAAACCTAAGGGAAAAAAAGACTATCTGAAGAAACAATGTAAACCTCATATTCATGCTGACAGGGCACAGATGTTGGATTTATAAGATAAGAAAACTAGGCAGCAGTTAAGACCAGATGTGTAATGTCAGTAGAGCCCTGAGAGTTGAAAGGAAATGTTAAACAATCAAAACATAGTAAAAAATAAAGAATGTATTGATATGGTTATTACTATACCATATAAAACTGAAGAAAGGCTAAAAACATGAATATAAATCTGCTTTCTGATGGATGACATGATCATATAAAGAAAAAGGCATCCAAAACTGTACTAACTACCAACAGAGAAATTCAGTAAAATGGCAGGATACAAAATGTACTTAGATAACATTTTCTTTTTTATTATTGTTATTTTATTTTATTTTATCTTATTAGTTCAAATTAGGAACAAGCTTGCTTCAGATGTCAATCCCTTCTCCATCTCCTTCCCCTCCCCCAACATCCCACCTGCCCCTAGCTATCCCCCTCCACTCCCCAGGCAGGGTAAGGCCCTCAAAAGGGGCTCCCCAAAGTCTACCACATCATCCTGGGCCAGGCCTAGGTCCTTCCCCATGATAACATTTTCTTTTTGCTCTACAAACTTTAAATGTATATTTATTTAGGAAGTTGTGAGAGTAGCCACATTTTCTATGTTAAAATCAGAGATTACAGAAAGAAAATGAAAATAAATCATAAGGAATCTGATTAAAGGCAGAGACATCATTACAAATTTATATTTAAATTGATTTCTATATTGATGGACATGAATATATTAACATGCTATTTGGATATATGGTTTTCTCAAATATACACTATAAATTCATAGATATGTATGGGTAAATGTTTAGACTGCTGGTCAGCTACATGATTTATAGCTCTGCCTACTGAGTGCAGAGCTGAAGACATAAAAAAAAACAGTGAAATTGACATTATGAAATACAAGAGGCCAGATATTCTTGGACAAAAGTATTATTGTGAACTAGAATATATAACATCCAAAGTGAGCCTGGTTCATCTTGCAAGACAAAACAATTACGAAATGTTCAAAATATGAAAATATGTCAGACTGTCATGATAGGTGAATTTAAAAATTACCTAGTAACCCAAATTGAGACAACTTAGGGCCCAAATTATGAAGATAATATTGCATTTTAACATAAAATAAATTACCCCCCATGCTAAAATGATGCAAATATCACATTGAGCAAATAAAATAATAGAGAATGAACAAATACATAATGCAAAAGAATTACAACTTGTTTATATAGTGGCTTTTTTATAGAGAAGGAATAAAAACCTGATTTGTAGTAGACAAAGCACTCTCCCTACAAGCTAATAAAGTTTAATGTTACCATTCATAAAAAAAGCTCTGCCCATGAATTGTAGTTTCACAGAATTTTCCCTATTGCTTCTAGTAACAATGACCTCAGACTAATCATGAGGAAAACACACATAGTCATATCCAAGGTCATGAAAAACATCTATTCAAAGCTCCTCAAAACTGTCGAGATTATAAAATCAAAATCAGAAAACAGTGGGAGTTCTGAGAAAGAATGTGTTTGAAGCAGGCATGGGAAATGTGCTGATTAAGTGTAATAAGATAATAAGATGCCCTGGGTGGGAATTATGAAAAAGCTGGAGGTCTGAATAAACAGCAGGTTTGTAACAGAGTGAGGTATTGCTTTAATAACTTCCTTACATTACCAACAGGAGAAGAAAGTCTTCAAATGTAAAGAACTATGTAGTGTCTGTGAGAACAGTGCCTGAATGACTTTTCAAAACCAGAAGGGGTTTTCTTTTAAAATGGATTACATAGGGCTAGAAAGATGGCTCAGCAGTCAGAGTACATACTGATCTTCCTGACAACAAACCCTGTTCCCATCACCCACATTCATAGGCTCACAATGTCCTTCTCTCCAGCTCCGGGGATCCTACACACTTAACAGGGCATCTGGACTCACAAGCACCTATCGACACACAGATACACAGACAAATATTTTAAACTAAAATACAGTTTTAGAAAGTTAGATTACACATACTCAGCACTTGAAATTAGTTAAAACAGTTCCATAATTTGTAAAATAAAATCTTTGGCATAACTCTTCGTTAGAATTTATTTAACTTTTTAGTTTATTTTTCCCACATATTGCACTCCCATCATAATTGTTGAGTGGAGGTTATTTAATAAGCTTCCTGTCATCTGGAACAGTAAGTTCTATTCAGATAAGTTTTCTTTTTTAGTATTTATTATATTTAGAAAATTAATTTACACCTCTCTAAGATCAAATGTTTGAATGCAGATGCCATCCCTATACCCTTAGTGGGACTTTTTAGCTTAGCTTCCATATGAATTTTGTATTGTATTAAAAGAAAATAATCTAGTATATTAAATTTAATCAAGAAAATTTAAATAACTTTAATGATTTGATTGAACAGTCAAAACATTAAATGATTTATTATGTCATCCCATTTTTGTTCAACATCATATATATTAAAAACATATTGTGGTAGAGTTTCCAAAATTTTCATACCAAAAGAGAATATTTCCTTCTATTCTTTTGTCAGGCTGCTGGATCAGCTCAGGTACTTTAGCTAGATGGGTTTAGGCACTGTATCTACTAATTACAGAGATGATAGTAACACCCTTCACAACTGTTCAGTAAAGGCATTATGCTAGCCTGATATATTCTTCCCACACACGAGTGAAGAGTACCACTCTCACACATGTCCCCCTTCGAATAATCAACATTCTATCCGCTGAGAATGGATACTTAGCACCTCATAAGTACAAAATATCATGCAAGATATCTTCTAGGTTTCTTGATATGAAGGAAAGCATAAAGAGATGTATTACTTCACTGTTATCTTACAGGAGATAGTAAACAGAAACAGGAGAATTTTGAGATGCTTAGGAGTCCACTTATCCATGGCACAGAAAAAAAAAATAGAGACCCTGTCTCAAACAATGTAGAATGCAAGGACTGATATCAGAGGTTACTCTCGCATGTGTGCATGTGTACCAAAATGCACATATCCTTTTCACCCATACACGTGTGCACATGCATACAAACATATACATAAAATAAAACAGAATAAAAGCATAATGGCCAGATTGCAAAAATAAAAATTTTACTTATATTTATTTTCTTAAGAATTTTCAATGATGTCCAACATATAGCCCTGTATATAGTCTTGCTAATTTATACTATGTGATTTTGTAGAGTACTGTTGTCAGTCCTGAGGATTATAAAAGAAAAATGTCAATCACCGCAGCAAACCCTGGATGATATTCTACATCTCACAAGGAAAAATATTCAGGCAAGATGTAATTCATTATGCAAAAACAAACAAATCATCTGTCCCATTAGTATGTAAATTTGTTCCCATCTCTAATAAATGATAAAAGTATGTGTAATATAAACTATGTAAAAATAAAACATATCAATAATGATATCATTAATTATTTATTATACCTTTATTGATAATGTGTTTGATTACCTGGCATATTTTATTAACACATATGCCAGAATTGTTAAAAAAAAATCTTGTCTGAAAAGAGTCCCAAGCTGAAAAAGTTTAAGATGCCATGATATAGAGCTGTGCCTTTGTGTAATCTCGTCCCCTTATCTCGTGACACTTATGTCCTGCATGCCATGAATACCTCATCTAATGCCCTTTGAGAGCCTCTGCAGATGGGTACTATTTCTCATGCCATTAGATTTGTATACACTAAACATCACTGAACAGAAGCAAGTCAACTCAGAAAACCACAGGGAGAGACAGGAAGCTGCTAACGATAGAATCATTCTCAGAGATAGAATGGCTTGGTGTTTTACTTTCTTTTTCAAACAGAAAGGAAGGTGTTTCATTGATAGCACAAAGACTTTGGAGGAAAGAGCTGAAACAGGGGTCAGTAGTTGAGAGTTGTATACATTTGAGAGTGGGGATTAAGCTTCAACCATCCTAAGTTTTAATATAGTATTCTAGAAAGTAATTGACATATGACAAGTAACTTGGAACTGCAAAATGTGCATGAAATCAACTGTCAAAATGTCATCACCACTCTTTTTTTCAGTTGTTTTTTTTAATTTGAATAAGAAACAAGATTGTTTTACATGTCAATCCCAGTTCCCTCTCCCTCCCCTCCTTCCCTACTACCCCCCTCCCTAACTATCACATATCCTTTTTCCTCCCCCTGGATGGTGAGGCCTTCCATAGGGTGTCATCAGAGTCTATCATGTCCTTTGGGATAGGGCCTAGGCCCACCCCCATGTGTCTTGGCTCAGGGAGTATTCCTCTATGTGGAATGGGCTCCCAAAGTCCACACCTATGCTAGGGATAAGTACTGAACTACTTACTACAGGAGGTCCAGTAGATTTTCAAGGTCATCTCACCACTCTTAATTTAAGTTAAATTCTCAACAATTAGATTAGTAGAAGTCAATGAAGTAGGTTCTTCTTACTGAAAATAAACAACAGTACTGTCAGTAGTGAATGAATAAGTCATCTTGGAGCAGTCATACAATCACCTTAAAGAATTAGACTGTAAAATACTCATACTAGCATGGGAACATTAATGTGTCTAATCCAGCCTTTTCCCCAGCAGATGGGCAATCGATGTATACTAATAGAAATAGTCTGTCATAGATAATGATACTTTAACTATCTCTGGCTTCCTCAAACCTTAATCTGGCATGTAAAAGTTGTATCTGATTTAGTTGGGAGGTTTGTGATAAATTTTACTGAATGAAAATGCTTTTCCTAAGAAGATATGGCTGCCAACCTTGAATGTTTGTCTTATAGAAACAGTCAGGTTGGTTATGTATTCTGTCATTAAATTCATGTATTTCAAATCAACTCAGAAAATGTACCGGGTCTTAATAGACTTTTCTATGCACACTAAACATAGCAAAAGACTATGTATAGATAACTCAAAAAGCTCCCTATCAAATCCAAAAAGATTTGTTCACCTGAAAAATCATTATTTAATAGCTCATGTTTTCCAAGATAATGTGAAATTTACTTATTAGGAAAACATTCTATGAGCATTCCTGAATTTTAGGAGATTTATAGAATTTCTTGTTAGATAAAGTTTAGACTTTCATTATAAGTTAAAGGAAAATAAGCTACAAAATTTTTTAATAGAAAAACATTTAATTTAGGACTTTTTCAGGCAGTTTATTTCTGAATAAAATTGTTGCACTGGCCACAACTATATATAGGATTAACAGGGAGAGATGAAATTACATCAAATGTGTTTTTGAAAGTGACATTATTGTGTTTTATGTAAGAATATTTCCTCTTTATGTTCTTTCTTGTGAGTATCACTTTTCTTTCTTTAAAATTACTCTTATTATCACAGTCAAAGAGTTTAAAATGGTGAGATTTAGAATCCACAGAAGAGTACATTTTATCACTACATGTAATAACATGCACTTCTGAGGTTTATCAACAGCAATTTGGGACATTTATCTAAAACATACGCTATTATTCTGATCTAAACTTTGTTCTAAAAGTTAGCAATTAGAGAGAATTTGAGGTACAGAAGTATGCTTTTATTTTGGTTTTGCCTATCTGGAATTCATGATCATGCCAGTAGGAAATTTTACTAATTTAGCATTTAGAACTTGGTGTCAAAATTTAAAAGTTAGTACACACTTTGTCAAGAAGTACTATGAGTGATACACAAAAGACATTGCTAATACAATAGTCCAATTTTAATTTTTTATTTTCAGTCATAGTGAGCATGCTACATGTAGTAATGGAGAAACCAGACATTTTGTTTTATGAAGGCTGAGTTGTTTTTCTACCTCTGGGAAAAAAAAATGAATTGCTGGTACTTAACAAGAAATCAAAGAAATGTCTAGAAAAAAAAAGTTAATGGATTCCCTTCTTTTCTTCTTTCTATTAATTAAATCTGTTCATTGACATTTTCATCCATGTATAAAAATGGTTTCTAGTCACTCTTTTTTGCATTATGCACAGTCTTTTTTGCCTTTTTAAAATTTAAATTAGAAAAAACCTTATTTTATATATCAATCCCAGTTCCCTCTCCCTCCCATTCGCCCATGCCCCACACTGAACCCAATCCCATCCCTCTTGCGCTCCATTGAAAGGGTGATGCCTTCTATGAGGGATCAGAAAAGTCGGTCACATCATTTGGAGTCCCTCCCCCGTGTGTCTAGGCTGAAAGAGTATCCCTCTATGAGGAATGGGGTCCTAATGTCCATTAGGATATTACTAGATATAAATGCTGTTCCATTACCAGGGACCCATAGATTGCCCAGGCCTTCTAACTGCTGGGGCCTTGGTTCTGCCCTATGCTGTCAGTTTCCAAGCTGTCAGTCTGGGGTCCATGAGCTCCCTATCTGCTCATCTATTTCTTACCCCTGTCCCCATCCATTACACACTACAAATCCCTTTTCTATCTCCATGCCTTTTATAGAACCTGGGCATTCTATGTTTTATATAGCCTGGGCATTCTGACTTGAGCCATGCATTGACAACTATAGACAGTGAGTTTCCTGCTCTCAGTCTCTATAGGTAACTTATAGATCAGAAGGCATAGTTTCTTACTTCCTAGTAGCAGAAAGTTAGCTGCCTATCATCCGCACACTTTAAATGACTATGTTAAATATAATATTTTCTTAAGTCAATTGTTCATAATAATATGAGTCATAGCTGCCTTTCAGAGAGAAACATAATGTGATACTTTTGAGCCTGCAATAACTTACTTGATTCATAATATCTAGTTTGTAGTACATATAATAAAACTTTAGAGTAAAAGATATACTGAAAGTTTTTTTCATATTAAAAAATCAATTTTACCCAAAGGTTATGAAAAGACTCTGGGAGCATAATAGTAAAAATTCATCTCCAGAATCTTGTTTTACATTCCTGACCTGAATGCATATAGGCTTATTATGGTTCTGTTGTGTAGTTGAAATTTTTTAGTGCATTTGTACTAACTTTACTGGGGTGAACTTATCTTTTGTTTCCCCTTTCTCACACACACACACACACACACACACACACACACACAAACACATAGAGAGAGATAAAGAGAGAGAGTGGGGGAGGGAGAGAGGGAGAGAGTGAGGGAGGGAGGAAGGGAGGGAGAGAATCCACTATCAAAACAAATAATTTCATGGCTTCATAAAAATAGACTATCAAAACAAGGGAAGAAATGCCAGCTTGTGATCTCATGAGTATGTGAGCAGCCTCCAGGTACTTCTATAATGTGGTCACTGAAAATATATTTATTACATTATTTGCAATGTCTAAAATTTTAATTTTCCGCTATGAAGCATCAAAGGTCTGTCTGGGATAGTCGGAAATGTATTTCTAATTGCTTTTTCCAGGCAAAAAGATACACTAGATGACTAACAACAGAACAATTAATCATGCATCTAAGTGCAGCTTCTCTTTTGCATGCAATATTTATAAGTATTTATCCACTCCCAGCTAATGCTAGCATCAATGCCTACTTGATGAACCTAATTCTGTAATTGTCAAATGCCAAAAACTCACTGAGAGATCAAGTTCATTCTTGGTTTATGCTTTGGATTGTATTTGTGATTAAGGAGGAAGAAATAATTGAAGTTTATATTAGGAATGGGGAAATTGCTTGGCTGTAGTTTTCTTACCCTTTTATTACTGTAGTTGTATTTTCTCTTCCACTTGACTATAAAAGCAGCATAAGACAAAATGTGAAGATAATTTTCCAACTTCTCTATTTGTAAGGGGACTTTCTATGTAAGAGTTCTCTAATGTTAGACTTTTTTTTTAAAGAAATCCGATTACTTTAATGGCTTAATGGAAACTTCCATGTCTTAGAAAATGAAACTCAGTCCTCCTTGGTTTGCAGATGTCTGGCAGCAAGCCATCTGTTATTTTTGTTAACTGGTCATTTTACCTGGGATTTGGTTTCTATTCGTTAACATGGTAATATTTCTTAATTATTAGTCAATCTTTTCTTTTTGCCCTTTAAAAAATGATTTGAGGATGGATCTTATAGACGGTGCTTAAATTCAACAAGGAGTACAATGCATTTTCCTTTTTCGACTTAAATACTAAACAAATTATGGGATGTCAAGAGTGAATCTCACATTAAACTTTTCTGAATATTTATAGTATAAATTACTAACTCACATCTAGTGACTCATATATGTTTGTAACCTATTACGACTTTACTATTTAATACGCTTAATATGCAATTATTTGAATATCAGATTTAATTTTTGCCCCAAACACACCAAAGTTTATATCATACCACTACAGACTCTACAAAATGATAGGAATAATACCTTAACATATCAAAATGTGGCTACTTAAAGAAAAACAAGACACCTAAGGCAAATTCAGCAGCAGTATTAAACACTCCGTAGTTTGTTTCTGGATGGGGAGAGCATTAGAAACTTAGAAAACTACTACTATTCACATGGTAAGATAGTATCTAAGAGAAAGTGAGAAATTAATGGTGTCCAGAAGAGATTTTGGAATTTGAATGAGCAGGAAAAGCAAAGTGAAATAAGATAAAGACTACAAAGTAACTTCAGATGTGAAAATGAGTCTGAGAACTCAACTCGACATAATGAAGAAAAGGAAAATATTATTGTTGAAAAATCTTAAATATCTATAGATATGTTTGTCATAAGATCACACTAATAAGATATTGAATTTTAGACTGCATTGTTTGTTTTTTATGTAATAGAAGTCTATTGAAAAACCATGACCCAACAGGGACTGGAGAGATCACTCTACTGAATACTTGCTGCTCTTATAGAGGACACAGATTCAGGTCCCAGAACTCACATGGCAGCTCACAACTCTCTGTAACTCTAGTTCCAATGATTCTGAAGTCTTTTTCTGGACTCTTCAGGCAATCTTATGAATACAGTGCAATAGTCATACATCTAAAATAAAGCAATCATTGTTTTAAAATTCCAAGAGGCTCCAGACTATTTGAGAAGCTGAATCTTAAAAACACAGATCATAAATTCACTTTCAGATGTACTAATGATAATGAAGTGTTGACCTGGTTGGAAACAGGTTATGCTGTCCTCTTCAGCATACTTTCAGATCACCTCTGCACTGTGCCATTCTGGTGAACACCAGGACATGGCAAGAGCTTGAAAATGCTACTGCCTATCTTGCTTAGAAGAGTTTAGAAGAGTCAGAGGGAATGACTGAATAATAACTGATGCCATAGTGGGCATTCATCATAAAAAGTTTCTTCTGTTTTGTCTCATGCTAATTCTTTGTATGCAAGCTATTCTACACCCATTTTCAGCTGTACCAAGAAGTCTAGACAACAAGTATGGAGGTTTGAATTGACATTAAAGGAAGTGGCTCCCACAATAGGTTTTTTCCCAGTAGAGTAGGCACCTGAAGGAGGTTACAGAGGCAGAGGACTTTGAGTAAGAGGAGCATCATGCTTCCAATATGAGGCACATTGGGCTT